GTCTAGTCTTGAAGGAGCCTCTTCCTCCCAGTAGGTCAGAGCACTACGATTCTCAGGATACTTGTGCTTCCTGGCATAACACAATACTCTAACTATTAATCTGATCGGGTTCTTTATTAATGTTATGTTCTCCAGTTTGTGTTTAAACAATGAATGGGACACCAGTACAAAGGATATAGCTACTCCTGCTAAAATAAAAGTTATTGCTAGATAATATTTCTGATCAATGAGACAACGGCTCAATTCAAAAAGAGTAAACATAATTGGTACACCCACAGAATGCCAATAAATGAGAGCACTTATTTCACGAGATGATGCACCAACAATTTGATCAATGTTATACTGAATAATGTTAGCCTTGAAGCTACCATAACCTGCAAATTCAAGTACATAGGCAACACTACAAGTTGTCCACAAAATGCCACTAGAAGGATAGAAACTATTCACAACATAACCACAACCTACAAAGATCATTGATAGGAAACAGAGAACAATACCAATGATTATTGTTCTGTGTCTTCCAATCTTGACATCTGCTAATAATCCATAGATAGGAAAACTTATAAAAACAAAACAATACAAAATATCAAACCCAATCCATCCATTTTTGACTGTTGATGAAATTATTGTAGGTACAAGATATCTTAAAAGGAGAATGTGAGAATACATCAGACAATCCCAGGTAAGAACCATAACAGCCCATCGAGTGAAGACCATTCTTGAGAGTGATTAGAAGTGAGCAGCTTTGGATTTCAAAGTTGTAATGGGAAATGTTGTATATCATAAGCTGATAAAAACAAGTTATTGACAGAATACTAGAGTGTTGTATTCTGTTTATTGTTAATGATCATCATGTGAAAAGCAAAAAGTTCTCAATAAATTATGGATTGCAATATATATATATATGGCAAAGATAAATTTTGCTGTGTTTTCTGACTCAGCAAAGTTTCATTGGTATTGTAGTGTTGTTTAAAGGAAATGAAATCAATACTTTTCCATATGGTCATTGCTAAGGATACAAAAGAGCATAATTAAAGAAATGATTAATGATGAACAATTGACAAATTAACACCAAAGGTATTTTAATGAAAAATAATGAAAAGCTACAAATGAGTATTTATACATTAAATTTTCTCTCAAATTTATAACTATTTTTATTGATTTAAAGACAAAAGAAGCAGGTATTTTATGGCAAACATCATGTAGATCTGACTAAAATAATATGAAAGGAAGCTATCAGTTATAGTTAATGGGAAAATTGAATGTTATATTCTTCCTCTTGTTCCATGTATCTTTGATAGTGATCATCAACAATAAGGTGAACATTAACTTCATTCTCTCTTACAAGATACTTGTAATTTCTTGCCAGTATTATAAATACTATCAATATAACAAAAACTACAGCACTCTTAGTCAGGTAGTAGTAGGAAGCAGTACATAAATACTCATTGTGACAACCAAATAGATACTTCATATTAATATTGAAAAGATATCCACATCCCAATGAAGCAAACCTCATTCCAGCCATGACTCCCCTCATATGCACTGGAGACTGTGCTATTGTGAATTCTAATGTTGCTGGAAAGAGTATGGCAAATGTGAATCCAAGAAAAATTTGTGGAAGGAGCATCATTTTGCTTGAAAAAGGCATTAGAGCTTCTGTATTGTTTTGAAAGAAGTGTAATATAGAAAATTTACTTGTTAGTGTCAATATTGTAAAAATTTGTCCAAAAGTGATTAACTTGAGGATACTTGGAATGTACTTAAAGCAGCATACTTTGATTACTAATAGGTGGAACAGAAGCAGGAGACCTGAAAT